TGTCTGAGAATGCAAGTCTGAGAGTGCAAGTGCAAGGCTGCAACTAGACCCTCTTGAGAAAATCTGAGATTGAGGAAAGCTAGAATTTGCCAGAATGATCTGGTTTTCAGAGTTCGGTTTCATTCTTCCAGTATATTTCAGAGGGCCTTTTCGAGTACTCTCTGGAAATTAAATGGACTTTGAACATCATGCCTCAAATGGAGGCCTATTACCATTTTTCCTCTGTGACTGCTTTCATCCTTGATGTCCGTGATATCCAGAATGTTTGTAAGAACCAGTAACTTTTACACTTAAGCTATTGGCCATCTGAGACATCTTAACACTTTAACAACTCGTGTGTGTGTGTGTGTCCCCTCTCTCTCCACAGTCCCTCCGGTTTTTGACTGTGTGTGCTAACTATGGCATAAGCTTCATGAAGGACCATAAGAAGTATGATTACTTGTGGGACATTACCATCGAGCCCTACACACTGACCTCACAGCTTGCATCTGAGCGTGGCTACATCATGACCAATTACAGCACCACCTTAGTATTGGATGTTCCTCTCTTTACCATCGGATATGTCTGAGGTTAGACTTAATCACTTGCAGGACCCAGTTGCAGATGCCATTTTAAGTTCCTCAATTACCTTTGAGTCGTTGACTGTGTGGCTGACATTTAATGTCTCTCTCTGTTAATAGAATATTACTCTGCAGCAGTTCTATGGTACTTTTGAACTTCTCACTAGAAATTCTAAAACCTTGAAGATTGAGCAGTGCTCGGCCAAACGCTGCCTCTTCCAAACCACTGAGCTCTTGGGTAATGCAGCTTTTAATGGCTTCACACAAATCTATGGCATTGGCATCAGAAAGTGCATTTCTTTTTGGTTGAGCTTTCTTGATCCAATATAGGTCTAGGGATGGAGTGGTAAAGGATTGTGTAAAGTGGCAAATGCAATGTTCAGTTTGCTTGCAGCTAAAGTTTCTTCTTTGCAGTGTGCTCTACTGAGGGTGTGATGACTATAGTGAGCGATATCACTAAAGCGGTACCTACAGCAGATCCTGCCAGAACCACACTATTGGACACAAACTGCAGACCTCAAGAAACTGATGAGTCCAGAGTCCTCTTCTCTTTTGGACTTAACACCTGTGGCACTAGATTTCAGGTGTGTTGCCGAATTTCTCCACAACGACAGTAAATCCTAAAATTTTGACCTTGTGAGAATGGGCCAGGTCTGGGTAACAAAACCAGCATTCCGGGGAAAATTGGCATCAAAATTGCTCCAATCACATTCTAGGGGGTCCTCCTCGGTTGAAATTGCGTTCTGGGGGGCAGGCTGGTGTGCTTCAACCCACAAACTAAAATAACCCGCGGCAACGGTATAAAAGTATCCCAGTTCTGTGGAGGAAAACCGTGGACTTGGCAACAATAGGACCGGCTAGTGGTCCCCATGAGGGAAATAAATGTATTAAAAATACTAATTTATGTAAAGATGCAAAAATGTCTGTGAGGGCTAGGTTTGGCATTGGTTTTGATTTAGTGGATAAATATTGTTGGGTCAGTATTTATAAAAAGTGTGTGGGTTTTGTGATCAATGTGTTTAAAATCTGACATATGAAAGTGGCTTTATTCAACTTCTTGCTATTCAGATCGATCAACAATATGTGACTTATGAAAATGAGATCATATTTCATGAGTTGTATTCCACGGACAGTAGGCCAGTCATCACAAGAGATACTGCATACAGGTATATTTAAATGATTAAAATTATTACTTGTGTATAAATTTAAGAGCTAAATCGGTCCAACTATGACCCAAATAAGTTTTATTTTTGCTTGGTTTCTTGGCCACACGGCTAACTATTCTTTTTAATCAGGAGGACCGTGAGGTGCATTTACCCAGTACGTGGCATTGAAAGCCTTTTTGTGGACCGACTGAGAGCTGAGACACCTGGAATTGGACAAATCAAGGACCCTGTGAAGGGCAAGTTAATCAGCTTAATTACCAATGATTTAGAATCATTTGGTGTGTTTGTAAGTTCCTATAATAATCTTGATCATGCCTTCTATTTTCAGTTCCTTCCCAAATGCTTAAGCCCATGCAACTGCAAAAACAATCCGTTATGAAGCCCTCTTTTCAGGGACCTGTTGCAAGGAAACCAGCTGACTCTGCACGAGGGGGTTGGTGGAGTGAGCCCCTAGACGAAAATGCCCAGTGGTCATTAGGTGGTATTGGCTTCTAATACACTGTACACTGTTTACAAGAAGTCATGGCAACTTATGTATTTACATTAACTCTTCAAGTTGAAGTTTAATGTAAGTTAAAGACTTGTACAACAATTCATTTTACTTTAAGGCAGCAACTGAACTTTAAGATTTTAGGTTGAAATGGGTGGAATTTCAGTAATTTTATTTATTTTTTCCCCCCCCAGGACCTAATGGAGGCTTTTAGATGTGATGTGATATTTAATAAACTTGTATCTTAAACGTTTGTCATGTGCTGTTTAAAATAAAAACCGTTACTTAAAGCACTTGGCAATTTTTTTTTTTTTTTTTTTCACATTACAGTGGTTCTTAAATTCGAGAAGTCTTTAAAAACGCTCTTGAAAGCAGTAATATCTCTAAGTTCTTAACAAATTACAAACTGTACAAGTCCGTTTTGGTATGTCAGTTATTGGGTATCAGCCCATGGTTTACTGACAGTGTCCTGTATGCTCAAATGGAGCCCGTTTACCATGGATCCTCTGTTATAGAACAGGCCTCCTGCGTCTACACTGTGAAGGGAGCTCCATGTCTGCTGGTGTCCAGTGTGGAGTTGTAAGGGAGGTGCTTTAGACACAATCTGTGGATTCTGGGTGGGAGCCATGCAACTGGTACTGCCTGTTGGGCATGTACTCTGAGTCTTTGTGCTTTGAAGAAAAGCCAACTGGGTCTGTGACTGAACCAGATTCTGAATCAGACTTTGGGTCAGGATGTGATTCTGATGGTGGGTCTGGGTTAGGATTTGCTGGTTTGGATGAGCCAGTGCTCTGGTCAGGTTAAGGTTGTGGTGCTGGTTTGGGTGTATCCGTAGTTTTTCCCTCCAGTCCTCTTGCTGCTGCCGATGGATCTTCATGTGAGCATTTCTACTTTTGATTTTATAGAACATCCTGTAAAGACATTTTGCAAGGTCAAAGAGAAGGCTGAACAACACTTAATGTGAAACGGACCATGAATTTCAATATTGTCAGTACTATAACACAGGCAAAATTTGTCTATGCTTACTTTCCGCACTGTTTACAGGGAAAGCTTGTGGGAAGTGGTGGGGTGTGAATCAGTCTGTCAATACTGGCTTGGTTAACCATCATCTTTGTGGCTGGCGTTACCTGCTGGTCAAAGCAAAACTTAAAAACATGACATTTTACGAACCAATGTAATCTATTGAATGTGATCTAAAAATAATAACACCAGTAAATAGGTTCTGTAAAATTTCGTATTCTTTTAATGCGCAGTGTTTTTGTATGGGATTTAGGTAAGGCTGGGCAAAAGCAATCCGTTAAAAACAACTGATTATCATTCACATTTTTGTATTAAATTAAATGGCCTATTGTTAGCATATAGCCTCCGCCTATATTATAAAAAACATTACACACCCGTTCATGGGTGTGCCGGGTCAGTTCTTATGATCGACTGACACTGATGTGCCGTAATCAAAGTCAGTCTTACCTGACTGATGATGGCTGCAATTCTCTCTTCCTCCAGACTTTCTTTTTCTCTCTCCCTCTGCTTGTTTTGTTTCTCTGAGAGCCTCTTGGAGTTGTAGTAGAATTCAATACACTGTGCCACCTGCTTCGTTCTCACCTGAAAGTATGAGAACTGTAAATACTCTGGTCTCTGATATTTGGTGGTTTAGAGTTGCACATATTCAATATATTACCATTTTGTGTATGAAGGAGAAATCTTTTCCATAAATTGTGAATGCTTTATGGAACAGTTTTTGTTCACTCAAAGCCCATATTTCCATGCCTAAATGGAAAGTGCAACTGGATTAGTCTTATTTATAATATGCTGACTGTAGAAGTTTTTGACGATCAACAAATTAGTGTTTACCAGAATAGTGATAGTTTTCTGATGGAGGGGAGTTTTTAAACAACAGCATCTCCAGCGCTGCCTGTAACCAGGAAAAATAAGGAAATTAAAAATTATGCTGCATTATTTTGTGAAAGATAGAATATCTTTAATATAGATCTATCTATAATGTAGATGATATTTTGTCATCAGAAGTCATTATTACCAAGGACATTTTGAAAAGGTAAATGTGAAAGCAATCACAAAATATAAATCTACAAGCATGAGTTCATAATGAATATTGCACTTACTAGAATGTTTCCCTGGCAGTGAGACAGGCTATGAAGAGCAAGCTCCAAATTGGCGCCACCTCCTGGTAGAACACTTGAGGCACTCAGGTCAAGAAGGTTCTCCACTGAGGTTCCAGATAAAACTCATTAATGAAGAAAAAACTAGTGGTTTAAGGGTAATTTAAATATTTTATTTTGATTACCGTGCTGTAAAAGGGTGTCATTTTCCTCTAGCTCTGCCCAGGGTTTCCATAACAACTCCTCCCTGACTGGTTCCTCTGGACACACCTCAGGCTCTCTTCCTGTTATCAAATCTGGCAGCTCAGCTTGGAACTCTGGGCCTATATTTATGCACCTTGAGTGTAAATGTGACAAAGTTTCATGAAATCATCTGTCTCAAAGAAGCCTGACTCTGGTGTTTGTTCGGTCAAAAATGACCACATTGGAAATGAATGGGAAGCAAATTTTATCTAGTAGAAACTTTTGGTACTGTGTCCAAACAAAATCTTACTGAGAGCTCTCTTTTTTTTTTTTTTGAGGTATCAACCTCAAATTTGGAACACAACTTGTTTAGATTTATGGCTTTGATTTTCTTGCAGTTTTAGAGTTAAACATGATTTGGAAAATGTTTCATGTAAAATTTTAAAACAGTATTTTGTGCATTTTTCATAAAAATAAACTTAAAATTCTATAATTTTTTTTTTAGTTTCACTTTTTTCACTTTTTTTTTTCCATTCAAGTCTGTGCTCCAAAGTATTCAAGATTTACGACAAGGTCTATGCTCAAAAAGTGGATAACAGTTAATAAATGGAACTATTCAGTAAATATAATTGACCATAAAATCCCCTAAAAAACAAGATATTAAATAAAATAAAAAACATTATCAAACTACAGTAAGGTACATTAATTTCATTGAAATTAAAATAGGTCACCATGCGAACAACGCCAGAGGGTTAAAATTAGGAAGATTACACACAACCAAGCAGATGCTCTCCCAATCAAGAACGAAAAAACTTGACACTAAATTTTGCATTATTTATCTTCCGACAGATTATTGTTGTCAAATAAGCTACAATTCTTTTAGCTGTTCAGACATGCTCTTAATAAATAAAAAGAAAAAAGAAAGCATTTGTATTAGGGGAAATAATACAAATGCTTCCTGTATGACACCAATGAGCAACCAAAACTGAGAAGAAACAAACAAACATTTGAATGCTTACCTTTGTGAGTCATCATCTTTCCTCTCGTCTGTCCACAGTGCTCTGTTTTCCACAGCTAGGGAAGACAATAGGTTGCAAAAGAGCCCCGTTCCACTACGTGTTGGGTTCAGCATCGGAGGTGGCGTATAGTGAGGTGTACTTTCTTCCCAGTTCTCCATGAGCTCTCTACTCATCTGGATCACACTGCTGAAAGGGACTCCAGTATATACGGAACTTGGAACATTCTAAATGAGGCAAATAAAGCTGCATGTGAGTGATTCTGCTTAAAATGATGCTGCAGAGCCAACCACAGCTTAACAGCTGAAAGCATAAATACTTGTGGTTTTAACCTGTAACAGATAAAGTTTATATTTCATATTTTATATTTATTAAAAGTTTAGGGCTGGTAAGATTTTTTTTTTATATTTTGGAAAGAAGTGTCTTATGCTCGCCAAGGCTGCATTTATTTCACCAAAAATAGTGTAAAAACAGTAATATTGTAATATATTATTACAGTGTAAAAATTGTTTTCTATTTGAATATCCACCTTTTTCTTCAAAGCGGAAGTAAGCCTATGGGTGAGACTTCCGGTTCATTAGCCGCAACGAGGAGAATAATGTGCAGTAAATGGTCAAATTGTTTGCACTACAAACCAGTGTGTTCATAATTAAGATAATACATTAAAATAATATAAGACAAGACACACAAACTTTCAATATCAAGCAGCAAAACGAACCGTTTTGTTCAGCTAAAAATTGCTGGACAGAGTGGACGCAGATGAGACCGGAAGCCAGACCCATTGAATTTACAAATGGCCGCGCCCATTTTTACGACAAGAAAAAGGTGGATACTTTAAAAAGTATTATAAAACGGATAGTTCCAGTCCTTGATTCTGATTGGCTGAGCCACGTTCGAAGCTGTTGTAAATTACTCTACAAACATACACCTTTGTTTACATTTGTCTGTTGCTTGGCAACCACTTTGTTGCAACCACAACTGATTCTGAGGAACTACATTGTTTGGTGGAAGAATACGGTAATACATTAAAATAATATAAGACAAGACACACAAACTTTCAATATCAAGCAGCAAAACGAACCGTTTTGTTCAGCTAAAAATTGCTGGACAGAGTGGACGCAGATGAGACCGGAAGCCAGACCCATTGAATTTACAAATGGCCGCGCCCATTTTTACGACAAGAAAAAGGTGGATACTTTAAAAAGTATTATAAAACGGATAGTTCCAGTCCTTGATTCTGATTGGCTGAGCCACATTCGAAGCTGTTGTAAATTACTCT